AAAAGAAGGGCAGTGTAGAGGGTCTGAGTTCCTGGTCCACAAGCCTGATGACCTGTTTGAACCCCAGCACCTCCATAAAAATGAATCTTGGAAAGGCATGGGATCCTCATACAAAGGTAAAAGATAAGGGACAATAAATTATCCTGAGAGCTGGTCATTCAGTGATTCCCTGTCAAAAAAGGGAGACACTCGCACTTGGTTAGACACAGCATGGCTTCAGGATATCCCTGCAATGCACCAACCTTTCCCCCACCCCTTGTTGCATTCTTGAGAAGCTAGCTGGGAGGGTTCTCCCTGCTCTTCAAAACAGGGAGAAGGGAATGTGCCAAACAAGGTGAACATCACCAGCAAGCCCTCAGATGGGGTGGGGCCTTAAAATTCCCCATCTCTTTGACATGCTTGCACTCAGTCCTTCAAGAACTTGGGAGTATGGGCTTGCTTGAAATGGAAGGCAGGGCAGCTTAGAGAGGAACTTCTTGTAGGTTGGCAGGTGTTCATGTTTCCAGAATCCTGGACCAGCAATGCAAGTTGGCCATGGTCTGTGTGATTTCTCAGAGAGGCCCTGACAGGAAACAGGAGACAAGAATGCATCTGGGGTTTGTGCTGTAGTCCTCAGGGCTCAAAGGCAGGCTGCAACCTGGGGTGTGCTGACACACATGGGAGCAAGGCAAGAGAACCTGAATCTTGCTCTTCTATGGTCATGTGGGAGTCTCCTGGAAGAAGTACCTTATGTTCCCTGCAAATCTCCCGGCCTGTTTTTCCTCCTTTGCAAAGTGACTGGATTGGTTTGTGTTATTCCTTTTGAAGAGCCCACCCCACTTATTAAATTTCATGTTTCTGGTATATACCCTTTGGTTTTATAGAACTATTACTTTTTTGTCTCCTGCCCTGCCATTCTGGGCATGAAACTAGTCTTATCCATGTATGTAGGATAAGTATTCCACCATGGCCCACATTCGCATACAGGAATCAAGTATGCTTCTTGCACAAAGCACAGCTCTCTAGTTTTGACCTCTTTATTGGGCAAAACTATCTCTCAAGTGTAGCCAGTGACAAGATAGGTCAGGTGCGGACTCAGGACTACTGGTTTGACTTTCATCCTGACATAAGACCATGAACTTGTGACTTTCCTTCCTTCAGCTCTCTGGAATGACATGTGCTGGATGGGTCCAATATCTCACCAAGAAAGAACTTTTTGGGCCAAGTGCTTGGATGCTGAGATCTCTTTGTGTATCACAGAGACAGCTACTGTCCCTTTACATGGAATAAATGAAATTTTCAACAGGCAGGCCCTCACAGTGACAAGTGGCTTGGGTTATCACACAGGCAGAATTGGGGACATGAAGAATGAGACTTGGATGAGGGGAGTCCATTATGTTTCCTCAGAATTGGTGCCTGGCCCCCAGCCAAACCCTGAAAGCCATGTTAGTGTTGAATCCATGAGGACAAGTTTAGCAGGAATCTTATAAGGTCTTAATAATAAAATCAAACCTGAGACCAGTTATTGGGGTGAATGCTGGAAGATCATAAAAGCAGAACAAGCCATAGCTACCTCACCTTGCCAATTCCTCACCTGATCCTGTTTTCTAAGACTGGATGCCTCTGAGTCCTCTTCCAGAATGAATCTCAGCTGAACTGCTTCTCAAAAGCCTGAAATCTTAATCAAACAAATGCTTCTAGTTCCTGGTCTTCATACCTTATATATCTTGCTGTTTTTGCCATCACTCCCTGGGATTAAAGGTTCACTTCTTGGTATTAAAAGCATGTGTCACCATGCCTGGCTGTTTCCAATGTGGCCTTGAATTCACAGAGATGCAGAGGGATTTCTGGCTCTGGAATGCTAGGATTAAATGTGTGAGTGCCACCAATTTCTAGCTTCTGTATCTAGTGGCTGTTCTGTTCTTTGACATCAGATAAGTTTATTAGGGTGCACAGTATTTTGGGGAACACAATACCACCACAGACAAGAGACCCCATCACTCTGGTCTTTGGGACATTTGCTGTGGTCCCTGCCTTTGTTTATCTCAGCTGTCTTTTCAGTCAGTCTCCAGGAGAAGATCCTTGTTCTTAATTTCCAAAATGGATTCAAGCAGGGGCTGGCTTGAGACAATAATCCCTAGGTTTTGCTGAAGCAAGAAGCCTGGCTGGGAGACCAGGCTCATGTTCTAGCTTTTTGTGTATGCAAGTCACCATCATCCCCAGTATATCAAGAGTGCAAAATGACAAGTCCTTAAACTCCTACCCTCTACTATAGCCTTTACTTATGACATCTGATGTGGTGTGTTCCTTCGCTCCATGGTCTTTTCCATCCTCTGATATTGTAGTGTCTCTGGCTTGTATCATCACAAGGGTGGTGACCAAAGGTGAGGACAGCTTATGCCATGTCAAGTGGGCCACATGGAATGGACCCAAGGTGAGACTTGATGCTTTGTGCTGTTTTGAGCCCTTGCCCATTCTATCATTCCAAGGATTTTCTCCAGGTTTTTGTTCACTTCAGGGAATTCGTCTTTCCTCCCCACCATACTGTTTTAAATTCCCAGCAGCCTTTTTTATCTCATTGAGTATGAATCTTAAGGTGGGAAAGAGCCAGTCATAAGCTCTGTTTGAAAAGTTAGCCCTAAACACCGTACAAAGAATAGTTTGGAGTGAAGCATTTCTAGACCTCTGGCTTTAGAAAAAGGAGGTACTGAAGTTTCCCTTGTATCTGAGGAGAGGCTCCTGGGAAGGGTAACTTGAAGTAAGATAGTTAGCAGGTAGGCAAAAGCTGTGACATCAGCAGTCCCATACTTGAGTATTCTATGATATCCTGGAGAGCTCTGTCATCTCCTGTGATGTCACCAGTGTTGCTGTGATACCAACAGGCTATGGGGCATTTATTCCGTGCCTTTATGGTTAACCTATAGACATGGTGGCAACATGAAGCAAACTACTTGGAAAAGAGAATTGAGAGCATAGAGAGACTAGACAGAGGCAGAAGGAACCTTTGGTACTTTTGTAAAACAGCAAGAGACAAATGTTGTGGGAATGTTGAGTCTTGGCAGGGGATGGAGTGCTTCCTGCAGGAGGTACGCTTGAAGTGGTCTTTCAAGGAGTAGGGCAAAGGAGGTGACAGTTTCTGGGAAACAATGAGCCTATCCTGTATCTTTGAGTTCCTACAGAGCAGATATGGAGTCAAGGATTTCTGATGATTAGTTTGGCAGAGATCCAGGAATTGTCCAGGCTGCATTTTCTGTAAGTCTTTGAAGTGTTTGAAGATTACCTACCTAACTGAAATATACCTTTATACACCTAAAAACTTAACTAACATGACTACACGTTTAATTATTCTAGATTGCTATCAATCTGTACTTCTTATTTATATATTACAATTTTAAATGAGTCACATAAACATTATACCTTAAACAAGAGTAAAGATATATACAGTATAACAAAATTATCTTTAAAATTGTGTTAATAAACTAAAATCTATAACAATATAAAATATTTTAAGCAAGTTGTTGCTCTTTAATCTAAACTTTCATTCTATCATATCTATATTCCCTTTTCTTTTTTTAAATGTTTTTATTTATTATGTACACAGAAGAGTACCAGATCTCATTAAAGATGGTTGTGAGTCACCATGTGTTTGCTGAGAATTGAACTCAGGAACTTGGAAGAGCAGTCGGTGCTCTTAACCTCTGAGTCATCTCTCCAGCCTTATCCCCTTTTCTTTTTTAGAAAGAGATTGCATTTCTAATCAATATCCTTTAAATAAAAACAAACATTTTAAATAATACATTGGGAATTTGAGCATAGCTTCTCATACTACTCCCTGGGCCTTGATTAGTCTGTGGGCAAGAAAAATAGTCCAGTGAATAAGAATCCTCCAATTTCTCTAGATTTTATTGTGAATGTACAAATGATTTGGAACTTGTGTAAGAATTGAGATCACTGATCAGCTATAAAGCAGGAATAGTCATAGCAAAAAGAGGGATGAGGAAGAAAGTGGGTGAAAACTATCCTGCTGTGATAGTAGTTGATGTTAGCAATGAGTAGTGAGGTAATCAATGTTACAAGATCAATAAATATTATGACTAGCCATTTCTTGAGTCCACAGGCCAGGCAATCAAAAATCTGAATAAAAAACTGAAATATCATGAAACCAAATTAGAGTAGTTACACCATTTGAACCTAAGAAATAGAACTGGATAGAATGGTGTGGCCCTCCTAACCTGAATGTGTTTTCCAGGTTTAAGATGTATACCCCAAGGGAAATGGTATGAGCAGTTCTTGGTGTCCTCTAATACAAATCCCTCATCTCTGGAGCATATGGCCATAAAGCTTGTTTCAACTTTTTAACAAAATTATTTGGGATTATATTTACATTATTATCTTTATGTCTTCCCTGCTTTTATACCCTCCATAGACCGTTCATTGTGTTCTAATCCATATCTTCTTTTTGTTTAACAACAGTTACTGTTTGAATGGGACCTGTGTTTGGTTTCAGGACTTCCCAACTATGAAGCAAGAGGTTGGTTGCACTGGACTTTGAGTATCTAATGAACAGTGCACCCATAGAAGCATGTGCTGTGGAAGAAAAACGGGAAGCGCTCTAGAAGATTAAAGAATATTACTAAACTACCAAATTCCCTGGTTAGTGTCCTATCCAATCATAGTGTGGAAGGACCCACCTGGGAGAGTTTTTTCTCTCTGAGTCCTTTGAACTCTACTCACCCAGTAGGGAAACTGCTAATGTCCTGAAGCCCAGCTGGGTAGTCCTAGCTGATGAGGGACTTTGGGTAGGGTTAGCAAACAAGAGCATCAGCAGAAGGTAACTTCCAGGTTCTTTCCAGGAATCTCCTCTTGTTCTGCTCTAGGGAGCTGTAAGGAAGTCCACAAGCCATGCCATCGTGAGTGTAGCATTTTCACAGCAGGTGGCTGAGCTGTCATTTCTGCTGGGACTTGGATGAACCATGATACAAACTGTGGTTTTCTTGGCCCATGTGGTGACATGGGCAGTAGTCCTTGTCCTGTAAACCTTCCTGTGTATGGATTTCCTGGGTATGTAGAGGCTCTGCAGCCCTATATGCGAAGATATGCTTATAACATCACTGTCCAGTGTGCAAACCCGGCCAAGTTTTTAGTGTGTAGTGGGAAGACAAATTGGAAAACTGAAGGTGGTGTGTCTAGAAGTTCTGAACATTGCACTCCACTTTCAGGTTTGTCTTATAAATATTACAAATGGTTTAGAAACTGGTTAAAATTGGTGATATGGATTGTCTTTCAGCAATACATGATTAGAATGCTTCTAACTTTGCTATAACCAGCTATGTTGGGATGATTTGGTGAAGTTCAGTTCCCAGGACAAAAGCAGTTTCTGATCTGTAGAAATTTCTCTGGTGTGCATGGTGTTGGGTGGGTGGATAGGGCAAAATTCACATCTTATGCCATAATCCATGTGACACAAAGCATTCATAACTAATAAGAAGTCTTTGTGTCCTGATTTGGGAGCTGGTTTGTAGCCTAAATGAAAGCGAGCTACATCCCCCCACTCACTCTGTCTCAAAATGTTTTTCTCTTTAGATATTACTATTGCATGTATATTTATATGTCTGTGCACATAAATAAATATGAGCTGCTGAGTCCATTTGTTTTTTTTTCTATTTCTATGATTTTAGTGCAGTCCACTTTGTTTTGAAAAGCCAACTAGGAGGCTCATCCATGGGAAACACAATTCTCCCTCTCAATAGCCATTAGTTTCCTATAGTTCTTGGTCTAGGGAGAAGATTCATTAGATCCCCTCAAAACTTCTCTTAGTCTATGTAATGGCCATGTTTACTCTTCCATGAGCTCTTCTTGCAGGGCCCAGAGTCTCTCTATTTTGTCAGCTATGCCTTTGGCTTCTCAGCACATGTATGAATACAGCTCTGGAGTAGGTGTCCTGTTCCAGAGCCCTGTGGTTGTAGTGAATGGGATGCCCTGCTGTCTCCTCTGGCCTGGTTCTTAGAGAAGCTCTCCAGGTTAGCTGAGAAGCCCTTCCCATTCACCTACTTACCAAAAACTGATGTCACCACAGGATTACCATATCCTCTGAGTCAGGCTAAAAATATTGTCAGGAAGGGTATTTCCAGGGAGGAGGAATGTCTGTGAGCTTGTTCTGTGGGGGTTTCTGTGAGGGACTTGCCTGGGGATGCATTTGAAGATTGCATTGCTTGTGAGGAGAGGACTGGAGGAATTTCTCTTGAGTTTGCTTTACAGGGAGGGTGTGTTTAGAAGGTGATTTGGGGGCTTGGCCCAGGGCAGTAAGAATGCAGACCTGAAAAAGCTCACAGGCCTTGTGCACTAACACTGTTCTTCTCTTGCCTATCTCAAATATCTGTGGGGCTACAGGAGGAGTTCATGGAGTGTCACCTTAACTGATAATTTGCAGCCCTGGTACTAGTACCTGGAAACCACTGAACCTGGATCTACCTGGACAAGGAGTCAACCAAGGCTGATGATGAAACCCAGAGATGTGAAGTTCACAATGTTGCTGCTGTAGTTGCTAGGAGTAGCTGGGTGCTGGGAACAATGCAAGAAGAGCTTGCCATGGTCACAGAGCTGAAAACTTGATGCAGGAAAAATGAGACAGAAATCCACCTACATTTTTAAAGGATTTTCCTGCCCCCAGGTTGCCTTCTGATTCTTTATGCATAATCCAATCTCCAGACCCTTGTTTGAGTCCCTATACCTTCCAAATACTTCTTGGTTGCCCAGCTTCCATACTTAGCTTTCCAGGAGTCTTCATTGCCTCTGAAAGTTCAAATATTGCGATAGTCTTGGATGTTCCTGAGACAGCACGGGTGATCCTCATAGGTGAGCTCCTTGGTAATACTGGAAATGTTATAAGGCACATAATTTCATTCCTGTTGGTTTGAAGCATTTGCTATTTTGTATTTAAAACTCTTGTTATATTGGCTATTATGAGAATTATGGAGCTTGTTGATATTATAAATTATTGCTGTTGTTATAGATTGTGGTTTTGGTCTGTTGGAAAGAGTTATGTTAATAACATACAGAATGGCAAAGACCTGCCAAACAACTGACAACAAGTGCTGGAGAGGAAGTGGGAAAAGAGTAATGCCATGAGCAAGAAAGATATGTGTAGTTAGTGTGACAAAAATTATATTTTAAGATGCTGGTGGTCATCACACAAAGTTCACACTTCCAGTTCCTAACTAAGGTCCTAAGACTCCTTCCTCAAGGCTGCTCACCTGTTCTAACTATGTTTGCTCAAGCTCAGGTCTAGTCTTTAACAGCCATCTGTTTTGAGGGTTGGGATTCTGGGGGAGACTTTCCATATGTAGAGTATATCAAGGTGGTGTCTCTCCAGATGTATAGACTAGAGCATTGCTGTTGATTTCTGCTTATATCCTGTCAAGTGTGTGTCATGGGGTTCTGGGCCTGTGTCTGCTTGTCATTAGTGAGTGATGTCACTTGGTTCTACTTATCTGTTACAGCTTTGGGTGTAGTGAAGTTACTGACAAAGCTATTTTTACTTGTCTAAAAGATCTTTATTATAATGCTCATTCCAATTAGGCTTCAGATTCACATACGCATTTGACCATGAATAACAAATAATATACCAGGATTCTTTGAAATTTATAATGGTATAGCTTTTCATTATGTACCTAATATTGGGAAAAATTAAAGTTTTCCCTGTAAGAGTTATTGGCAGCAAAGTTATTAAAATCGTAATCTAGATAAACATAATTGATATTGAAGAAGTGCACAACTTGACTCCCTTTTCAGTTTGAGGAAAAGGAGCAACCTTGTCATTATTTCCACATTGG